ATCTTATTTAGCAGGTGGACAATTTTATTTTGTGGGTACTATCTCAATATCCTACCCTAAACAGGCGAAATCCACATGTGACGGGACAGTCTAATATTTCAGGGGTGGTAGATAGACTGCATGCAGAGGTGGGACCTAGGCTGCACTCTCTTGTGGGACGTAGGTGGGTTGGGGTTAGGGCCAGTTCCAGCTGTTTTAGTGTCGTTAACAGCATCAGAAATCCGGGAAACCCAGTCTTACCACCTTCTAAAATGTCGGACTGTCCTGTGATGTCATCTGGGGGTATGATTTTATAAAAGAACCCTTTCGTGTTCTTTAAAACCTTTAGCACCCCACAGTCGAGTATACTGGACTTCCGCCGCCCACCCGTAGCCTCCCACAGTCGAGTATAGTCGACATCTATATATGGTTGAAAAATACGTAGATTAAGCGGAGCTACGCGTGTGACGTCACTTGAAAACTATAAATAACTATTCTACAGTGGTTTAACTTCCTGTAATGGCCGATAGTGGGTTTGTTTGCTCAATTTTTATCAGCCAGTTCGATATCCATCACCATCCTTCGAAATGGAATTTAATTTTTCTGCAATTTTCATGGATTCTGACTCTGACGATGAGATTTTGTGTTTTACTGCAGCCGATATCAGTCGCGAAGTTGATATGTCTGTAGACGTAAGTGAAGGTAGTTCTGTTTACAGTGTGTCAGATTCTTAGGATACGGAATACAAGGAGATGCATGACTAATTGGTGAGTCTTTATGTTTGTACTGTTTTTTTTAACATTTTTCCCATTTCACTCTGTCCTCACACATCACCTATCAAACATACACCAACAAAACTCATATCAATGTATGCAGAAATCATTTGTTTATTTCAGTTTAAATAATTATGCAAAATTATTCATAAACCAAAAAGTTATTGTGTTTTCCATGTTTCCTCCATAAAAAACGCAAAATGTGAAAAAATAAGGTGGGAGGCAAGTGAAATAATTTGAACTTTTATTGTGGGGTGCTAAATCAGTATCCCGGCTTTACACTGATAGCGCAAAGTTGGGATGAAGATTTAAAATCTCCACTGAGTTAGTCGGGTGTTCCAAAACTGGGGTCAGTTAATACGTGACGTGGTTGGCTTGTTGCATTCTTGTGGAAATCTCACTGTCTCTTATGAAATCGTAAGTCGAGATGCTCGCCAAGTATTTGAAGGGTTAATCTTAATGGGATAGTAATACAAGTAATCTCCTTATAAGATGGAATTTGTCGTTATTTGAAGCCCTACTCTGGCTCTTGCCAGGGACCGAAATATAGCCCGACCATAATGGCTGAACGCGGTTTCTGGGACCTCTCCACGGTAATCCTCATTCGCATGGTGGCACTTTGTGTCATCGGGTGTTTATCGCTTGTGTGATGCCATGGTGGGGTAAAAGTAGATAGATAGACAGATGAGATTAATTTATCGAAAGTGGTTAATAACCACTGACACGTAGCCTTCAAACACTGACAGCCTTAAAACACTGACTTCTAGCACCCAGGACATATTCATAGGTGCTCCGTCTTCTTGACAATACGATAATGAGTTCGACCATCTTGATTTGTTTCAATATCGTGTAACGAAGGTTCGTTTCACTGTCGCGTCGTTCAGCTCACGATTGCAATTTTTGTTTAAAACCACTGAGATATCGGGGGATTGTCACTGGAGCTACGGAGTTCAGTCTTTATGTGATGCTTTCGACAGGTGACTATGAATTCTGCGTAGACGGAGCAGGTAATGTGATGTTAGTAGATTTTTTAGACTTTAACTATAATTTTAGTCTTAACTAAGCAGTGATTAAAAACAACAACAACCCAGGTCAAGTATATTGGTACATAATAGGTTCAAGCAGGGAAATAAATAGTAATATTACATTTCTGTTTTGGAAACAAATCGCGTAGGAATGCAAGGACATTAAATAGAAACTCACAAACCATGTTTAGTTGCGTATCCTGTACAGGACGTTGCATAACCAACCCCAACAGCACCTGGCCGGTGTGTGGTTTTTCTTGGCAAATTTACGTCCAGTAGTTTGCCATTGCTTTCTGGACGGTCGGTTTTTCGATACCACAGTCGAAACCAACGCAAGGCGCATGGCCCGCAGCTGGGATTGAACCCGGCACCACGGCATTACGAACCGTTCGCATCCACTTAGCCACAGAGCCGACTTCACAAACCAACGCTAATAAAAAAACAAAACAAAACCCCTACAGATGGAGGTGAGTCGCCGTGGCTTAGCACTAAACGCTGGCCTGCGGACTAGAAGGTCGGAGGTTCAGAACCTGGTGAAGCCGGACTTATCTTTAAAAATGACCTTGGCTCCTAGGTCGTCCTATCCTTGAGTGGGTACCGGGTACAATCCTGGGAAGTAAAGGCGGCCGGCGTGATGCTGACCACATCACCCACCAAGTGCCGATTGGTCTATACAATATAGGTCTAGCCCTATATGCTTAATACGCATGACAGCGTGAAAAGGGTCCTTAACTTAACTTACAGATCGGGGTATATTGTTTATATCATGAGTAGAAGCGGAGAGATCATTCTTTTTCTTCTTCTTCTTCTTTTTCTTCTTCTTCTTCTTCTTTTTCTTCTTCTTTTTCTTCTTCTTCTTCTCTTCTTCTTCTCTTCCACCTTTTACCTTATCGAAGTGTCAGGGGGAGATGCAACGTTTGTTGATGAGCTCTGTCAAGAGCACTATTAAGACTGGTGTTCATTTCTGTAAGGCTGTTCTTAATGCCATCACACCATCTTTTCCGAGGTCTTTAATGAGAGATCATTACTAAACATATATCGTTATACTGGAAGAGAATGGTGCGAGCTTCCCGTGTGGGTTCCGGGGACCTATTATAGAGCCATTGCCTACCCAAAAAGCGTGTCTTAAGAGTCGACAAATTTGGAGATTTCTTCGCAGTCAGAGTGCAGCTGCCTGAGAGGCAAGGAACCAACAGTCTGCACACAGACGGATGTACATGCAACACTCAGGTTCTGAAACAGGACTGCAGTCCAGAAGTGGACGAACAACCAGAGCTTTCCGCCTGAGTTTACAGCCGGTGAACGTGAAGAAGAAGAAGAAGAATGTGGCAAGCAAGCAAGAACATCTAAGATAAACCGGGGGACGAACGTTGATGAGAAATGATAAAAGAACGAACGAACTTTATTTCCAATGGCTCACAAATGCCAGGCCTATAATATATTTAGTAATTTGTGGTCTGAGCTTTGAGGTTTCAGGTTTGAGCTTTTAGCTTTGAGGTTTGAGCTTTGAGGTTTGAGCTTTGAGGTTTGAGCTTTGAGGTTTGAGCTTTGAGCTTTGAGGTTTGAGCTTTGAGGTTTGAGCTTTGAGGTTTGAGGTTTGAGCTTTGAGCTTTGAGGTTTGAGCTTTGAGGTTTGAGCTTTGAGGCTTGAGCTTTGATGTTTACTTTGAACTTTGAGCTTTGAGGTTTGAGCTTGGAGGTTTGAGCTTTGACGTTTGAACTTTGAGCTTTGATGTTTACTTTGAACTTTGAGCTTTGAGGTTTGAGCTTTGACGTTTGAACTTTGAGGTTTGAGGTTTGAGGTTTGAGCTTTGAGGTTTGAACTTTGAGGTTTGAGGTTTGAGCTTTGAGGTCTGAGCTTTGACGTTTGAACTTTGAGGTTTGAGGTTTGAGGTTTGAGCTTTGAGGTTTGAGCTTCGAGGTTTGAGATTTGAGGTTTGAGCTTTGAGCTTTGAGCTTTGAGCTTTGAGGTTTGATCTTTGAGGTTTGAGCTTTGAGGTTTGAGCTTTTAGATTTGAGCTTTGAGGTTTGAGCTTTGAGGTTTGAGCTCTGAGGTTTTGAACAACGGATCAACATCATGGCACACGGGTGGTAACCCATAAGTGCTCCATTCTTTTTCTAACTCAAGTCTGAGTCCAAAGAAGCTCAGCACAGTGCACAAGCTCTGAAGCACCGGCGAGGATCCTAAAATACTTTAAGTAGATTTGTTTTTTTTTTACTGCAAATTTTGCCCGGGCAGCGGCTACTATTTTCGATTGCCAACTGCCAAGGAATTTTTTGTGGCCGTAACAAGACAAATGGGCGTGCGATCCCACTACCCAGAGACCAGGGGGAATTATTTGAAGTCCAAGTCCACGTGAAAAAATCCCAGCCCTTACCCGGGATTTAACCCTGAACCTCTAGCACTCGAGGCGAACACCATGCCTTGAGACCACGCAGCCCCCTCTCCCCCTTTTTCCCCCTTTTGTAGACTGATACTGGACAAGGCATAACGGAGATCACTCTCAACAGCAAGCTAGCAGTGCAGTTTTGATTTCATGACTTTTAAAGCTAAAAATCCGGATTATGACAAGTACAGATGGAATCGATTTCAAAATTGATAGGAACCCCCCCCCCCCCCCCCGCCCCCCCCCCCCTTCCCCCCCCCTCTTCCTCCTCTTTCTTGAAACTTCCTCAGTTCCCCTTAGAGGACGCCCCCCTTCCCGACCCTGATTTTAGATAACTTTCTTAGGTAGGTAGTTGTACCCTACCAGGACATCATACAAGCGATAAACATCCGTTGACACACAGTGCCACTATGCGGAGAGGTTCCAGGAACCCCTTTCAGCCATTAGGCCATATCCATGGCTAAGCCATATTTATGCCCCGGCTATATTCAGGGCTCCTGGAGGAAGCCAGGATAGGGCTTCAAATAACAAAAAATTGCATTCCACGTGGGAAAGACTTGACTGTCTTCTTCTTCTTTGTTGCGTATCCCTTACAGGACGTTGTAGAACCAACCCCAGCATTTGTTGGCTGTTCGTGGTTTTTCTACGCAAGTTTACGCCCATTAGTTTGCCACTGCTTTCCAGACGAACGGCTTCTCAATACCAATATGAAACAACGCAAGGCGCAAGGCCCGCAGCTCGGATCCAACCCGGCACCCCGGAATTACGAAGCGCGTTCGCAATGCCTAAACCACAGACGCCGACACATAACTGTCTTAGACAAACAAATGACCTTACCTTAACATTATATGGACAAGGATTCTGGGTCATAACGTTTGTTCCGAGAATTAACAGCAAAGCCAGTGTGTGTTTCATCTTCAAACAATGTAGAAACATATCGACAAATCAAGTGCACAAATTGGTTGACGTACGAGCTGTGTCCGATACCTAAGACCACTATCGGCGGATGTGTTTCAGATCTGCACTACCTTACACATCACGTGATCTTAATGTAGACACTAGAAATTGTCTGTCACAGTGAGTAGCGAACCTTGGTCTTACAAAGAAAATATCATTGAAATCGTTTGCCTATTTTAGGAAAAGTTGCTCATCCACACAGTATTTCACCTTTCTGGGTGGGGGTATTCCGTTTGACTGTAAACTGTGAAGTTAAATCAGTTTATCCCCGTGTGGGTTCCGGGGACCCATTATTGGGAAAACAAGAATAGACCCACTGTCTACCCAAAAGCATGTAGTAAAAGTCGACTAATTGGGAGCTTTCTTCGAAGTCAGGGTGCATCTGCCTGAGAGGCAAGGAACCAACAGTCTGCACACAGATGAGAACTGTCAAACGGGTGCACATGCAACATTCAGGTTATGAAACAGCACTGCAGTCCAGAAGTGGACGAACAACCAGAGCTTTCCGCCGGAGTTTACAGCTGGTGAACGTGTAGAAGAAGAAGAAGAAGAATGGGGCAAGCAAGCAAGAACATCCAAGATAAACCGGGAGACAAACGTTAATGAGAGTTGAAAAGAGAACGAACGAACGAACTTTATTTCCAGTTGGTCACAAATCCCAGGCCTATAATATATTCAGTAATTTCACACACATCTTTCTCACGGCAAATTTATTTTATATGTAAAACATGTTTTGTTCATGTGTATCAACATTTATAGTATGAATATTAGGTAAGAATACAAAGGCAATGATGGTAAATAATGTCTTCATATACAGGCAAATACATGTGCATACAACGCAGATACACAAGCGAGACAGTCTAACACACTCAAACACACACGCACGCACACACACACTTACACGAACATAGGCGAAACCACGGACACAACACACAGACATGAACATCATACACAAAAACAGATACTCATAGACACACTACACACACGAATATAGGACTAGCACAAGACACAACACAGACACATATATAACAAATACACACACACAACACATGAGCAACATACAAAGGCATAGTTACACTCACACGTAAAAATCACACACAGAAACAGGATAAACACAAAAACACACACACAGACGCAACACACGCAGAGGCATTAACACACACAGATACAACACACACAGATACAACACACACAGATACAACACACACAGATACAACACACACAGATACAACACACACAGATACAACACACACAGACACAACACACACAGACACAACACACACAGATACAACACACACAGACATAACACAACACACACAGATACAACACACACAGACACAACACACACAGACACAACACACACAGACACAACACACACAGATACAACACACACAGGTACAACACACACAGATACAACACACACAGATACAACACACAGACACAACACACATAGATACAACACACACAGATACAACACACACAGATACAACACACACAGATACAACACACACAGATACAACACACACAGACATAACACACACAGGTACAACACACAGACACAACACACACAGACACAACACACACAGACAACACACACAGACACAACACACACCGTTAATTAGGGTGGCTGACTTAATTCCAACCACGATGTCGAAATGATTGTAAAGGATAGATCGGAATGAAGAAATAGAATATGAGCTCTATGTGACACATAAAATACAGAACATAATGACGCCAATGAGAATGATTAGAAGAAAACAAACTATGATGCAAGTTCACTGCCCAAATGCCTGAGCAAGAAATTATAAGTGACGACAGCATCACAGAAAAAATGCAATTAAGGAGAGGATTGGAGAGTAGCAGTCTCCCATGTCTTCTTAAGATCAAGAAAGTCCAGGAGAGAGAGAAAGAAAGAGAAAGAGAAAGAGAGAGAGAGAGAGAGAGAGAGAGAGAGAGAGAGAGAGAGAGAGAGAGAGAGAGAGAGAGAGAGAGAGAGAGAGAGAGAGAGAGAGAGAGAGAGAGAGAGAGAGAGAGAGAGAAGGGAAAAGCAGTCATTACTTACAACAAAAAACCACCCACTACCACCAGACCAAAAATGTAAAGGAAAACATTAAAAGCAGCGAGGCTATTTCCCGAACAAGGCGACTGACCTGTAGTGTTGGTCAGATACAATTGAATGCTAAAATCTTCACGATTACATTTACCAGATAGTTGTAATGTCTTGTACGACTGATACCACTTGACCAGTCGGTCATCCCTGGGACATGGGCAGGTGACAATCCCATTAATCTGTAGAACTTCTAAATTTTGTAATTTTGTTAGCGCCAGAGGAAATTTGGTTGAACCAACAGAATTTAAGTACAACACTCGTAAATGTTTTAGAGGCTCGAAAGCCAGATCTGAAATAACATTCAAAAAAGTTCCGCCCAGATTTAGAACTTCTAAAGAGGATGCATTTGGAAAGCTGTTATCTGCAAGGTTACTTAACTGTTTATTTCTATAGAGATCTAATTCTTTCAGCTGTAAGGGAATCCTGTCTGCTGTAATTTCACCAATTAAGTTGTCTGATAATTTCAGTTTCTCTAATTTAGACATGCTTGAAATAATCTCGGGTATATATGCGAATGTGCCGTCACTAGCATCTAGTATCTGCAGTGTACTACTGAGTGGACGGAGCGCTGCATTCAAATTTGCTTCCTCTCCAATATTAGTTGATACAAGGTATAAACTTGTCAAATTCTGTAGCTTATTAAATGCGTCAACAGATATGGTCCACATACCATTTCTAGATAAATCAACAGTGTTTACCAAAGTAAAATTTTGCAGCCATTCTGGCCAAGAATTTAACCCCACATTCTGAAACACAACAGAACGCACTGTCCTCCCCAAGCTCTGTAAAATCTGGGGCTTCCAGTTTGTTATATTCATATCTGACAAGTTTATCTGGGTCAAACTGGTGACCTGGAGAAGGGCGTCAGGAAGCTCAGGGTACTTGACTTTGCTCATGGAGAAAGATTTCAGCGTGGTGGCCGAGCCACTGAAGGCATCCGGTGAGATTGAAGTGATGCTCACGTCAGAGAAGGTTAAATTCTGCAGGTTGGCCGGCAAGCTGTTGCTGGATATGTTCAGTTTGCCAGACTGTAATGGATATTTAAATAAATGGTCTTAGACGTGGGCAAAATATAATTAACATGAGGTAATAGTGAATGAATCACAATACTTTCAATATAGAGCAAATTATTTGTACATTTGTTTTCTTTGACAGTGGTTTTCAGATGAGAAATTACACACCTCTATGAACACTGTAATGCCACACATGCCTTCCACTGTAAGTACAGTCTTGGTTTCAATTGGAATGCCAACAGACCAAACCTGGGATCTCTCTGCTGAAGGAGAGAACATGTCTGTAGCACATATATAAATGGACAAGGCTCTGAATCTCAGAACAGAGACAGAGTCAATGAATTACACTATTTTCAATACGGAGCTTATATTTAAAATTTGTAATACTGCGCACAGTAGATGTGATTTCGTTGTTTCTTTTTTTTGGGGTACTTCTTATTGTTTTTTTTTGCGTTTGCTGTGCTCTTTTTGTTGTTGTTGTTCTCGTTGTTGTTTTGTTGTTGTTTTGTTCTTTTCCCATCCTTCATCATTATCATCATCATCATCTTTTTCTTCTTCTTCTTCTTCTTCTTCTTCTTCTTCTTCTTCTTCTTCTTCTTATTCTTCATCATTCTTCTACTCTCACTACTCTTCTCCGCTCTACGCCTTTCAGTTATAAAACATATACAAACAGTGTTTCAGTTGTGATATAACTGATGTTAAAAACAAACAGGCCTTACCGTAAAAGTTAAACTTGTAATGTTGCCATCAGCGTTGTTTACAATCAGGGGCGGGATACTGGCCAGATTTCTGCAAACCAGCGAGCTTCCGGAGCATATGCAGCCCTGAAATGTAAACAAACGGTAATGCACATACTTATGGCACCCCAACGTCAAAACAAAACAACACACACACGCACACATAGGCGAAGAGGAGGGAGTCTATACCTTTACACATTTTCTATTCAAAAATGGGGGGGGGGGGTGTGGAAGGAAAGGGGGAAAAAGGGGGCGGGGGCAGGGTTCAAAAGATATAATCCATGGTTAGGTCGTTTCCCGACCTATCTGCACACTGGCTTACCTTTCTTTCATACTTTCTCAGACAGTTCTACGTCAGAGGGGTGTCACGTTGTCTTGCCTCCAGTTACATCAGCGGGTCTCATTATGTCGCGTGTTCTATACTACACGACGCCACAGCTTTTAACAACCCCAGAACATCTAGAACTGGCCCTAACACAAACCCCCATACCCCCAGCCTGAGCCAAGGTCCCACGAGAGTCTCTTTTCGAAGAAAGCGATACAACGTGACACCCCTCCGACCTAGACCAGACTGCGAAAGTGTGTAGATGGACCGGGAAACGTGAATAAGACCAAATATAGGTATAACCCAACATACCCAGTGCATCTGAAGGCGTGGGAAAAGATCTTATACTTCCACTGATATAAAATGACTAGGAATTGTAAATATTGTATTGCTTGACCGACGTTTTTTCAGCTCCAAAATTTAGATTTTACAATATTTGCATATTTGTTGATAAAAATCATAAAGCTTTGTTACATGACAACAACACCAAAAAAAAAAAAAAAATCAACATTTACTATTTAAACAGTTCAAAACGAAACATCTATGATAAAACTTACCGCAACATTGTAAGGACACACTGCTATCGCTGGAGAACCAAACAGCGTTGCAGATACAGAAACCAACATAACCAGCATTGATGCAGTCATTTTTAATTGTAGGCAAATAGTCACTCCAGATTCTGATAGCGTGTTGTGTCTGTGTGTAGTCGGTTAACCAAGCTTCTGTCTATTTGTAGTCTTCCGTGCCGCGCTGGTATCGGTTTTCTGCGTCCGTCAGCTCCACTGCTGGTTTGT